TCTGTTTTATCTGTATTGGTATCTTCAGGTCTTGCTGATGTGGAGTCCTTAGACTCTGGTGGAGTCATATTGATCTCTTTTTTTTATTTTTTTTATTTTAATTTTAAATAGCTTGTTTTACATGTCAATCCCAGTTCCCTCTCCCTCCCCTCCTCCCGCACTCCCCTTCCACCCTCCCTCCCACCCTATTGCCAAATCCTTCCACATAGGGGATGTCTAGAGTCTATCATTTTACTCTTGGTAGGGTCAAGGCACTCCCCTAAGAGTCCAGGCTGAGAGAGCATCTCTCTTTGTGCTATAGGCACATGAAGACAGATTGTATACCAGGGATAGACATTGATCCACAGCTCAGAGCCCCATAGGTTGTCCAGGCCTTCTCACTGACACTCCCATTTGGGGGGTCCAGATCAGTCCCATTCTGGCCTCCCCACTGTCGGTCTGGGGTCCAAGAGCACTCCCCTGTTCAGATCAGCTGTCTCTGCTGGTTTTGCCAGCCCATTCTTTGCCAATTTGCTCATCATTCCTCTCTCTCTGTCACTGGGTTCCTTGGGTTCAGTTCAGTGCTTAGTTGTGTGTTTGCCTCTGCTTCCATCAGTCCCAGGATGAAGGCTCCCGGATAGTTATAGACATCAAGTTCATTATCAGGAATGGGCATTCGAGGTGGTCCTTCCACTATTGCTTAGCTTGCCAATTGATGTTATACCTTTAGATCACTCGAGGTCACTCTGGTGCCTGATCTGTCTTCGATCCTAATCATATTGATCTCTTTTTGAAATCTCAAATCTCTTCTTCCAGTTGGTGCAGGTGGGGTCTCTCCCTCTCCTGGTTGGTTCTGGTTCAAGATTCTTTTCTGGTGTGTTCCAGCATGTCCAGTATTCCAATGGCTCTAGTCTTCCCGTGGGTGGATGTGGGGCTAGCACTGTGAGATCTGCCGACTCTGGATGGACTGGCTTTTGGGACAGGTTCCCCTGCATGCAGTCCTAAGGCCACACGAAGTTCTGAGCAGGGCACCTGAAGGATGGCCAGAAACAGGTCCATGCTCACTACCTCCTGTGGGTGGAGGTAGGACTAGCACTGCTAAGTCAGCAGACTCTGGATGGGCTGGTCTGTTGGGATGGGTTCCCCCCACATGCAGTTCCCAGACCTCAGCAGAGTCAGAGAAGGGCACTTTTATATGACACCTGATCCTTCATAAATGATAAACTAAATACAACCATTATTTTAAAATTTCTAATTATATAATAATTTAATACAATGTGTCTTAATTACCATTTCTCCTCTCTCAACTACTTCCAGATACTGTGGAAAATATTTAAGACACAAAAGCTTAAAATGGACATATATTGAAGAATGATGATGTAAGTAGTACAGCTCACACTATAGTCCTATTGTACAACAAAATGAGAAATTGTCCAACTTTGAAGTATGCCATTAGGAAGTGGGAATATTTTATGAATAAGTAATGGTTGTGCCAGATATTGAATGATATTGGTCTCTGCTTTGAGAAGTGACAAAGAAGTGGACAATAAAGAACACTTACAGAAATCAGATTGGTGACTACCCTAGTTAACATTGTAGAACCTCCATCTAGTTTTTAAAGGAAGTAGATGAAGAAATCTAAAGTCAAAAACTGGGGTGAACTCCAGGAGTCCATTAGAAGAGAGGAAGGGGGGATTATATGAGTGGGTTGTGGTTCAAGATCATGATGGGAAAACCCAGAGAGACAGCTGACCTGAAATAATGGGAGCTCATGGATTCTGAACCAACAGCTAGGGAGCCAGCATGGGACCAACCTAGACCCTCCACATCTGGGGGACACTTGTGTAGCTTGGTGTTTTGTGAGGCCTCAATCAGAGACTTCTTTCCCATCTACCCGTTCCCAAATAACCACTCAGAGGCTTAATATTACTTATAAATGCTTGGCCAATGACTCAGGCATATTACAAGCTAGCTCTTACAACTTGAATTAACTCATTTCTATGCATCTATATTTTGCCATGTGGCTGTGGCATTATGAGTCTGCTGGCAAGTTGTTTGTAGGGTGACTGCTAGTATCTCTCTGACTCTATCCTTCTCCTGTATCTCTTCTTGAATTTCCCACTTGCTTCATCTTGAGTTGCCATAGGCCAAAGCAGCTTTATTTATTGACCACTGAGAGCAAAAAATATTCACGGCATACAGAAAGACATTCCCCATCATGGCCTCCTAGCAGTGGGACCAGGATCTGTCCCTGATACATGACCTGCCTCTTTAGAACCTGTTTCCTATGGTGAGATGCTTTATTGCTGGGGAGGGGAGAGGAGCATAGTCCTACCTCAACTTGATATGCCATTTTTTGTTGACCTCCATGAGAGGCCTTACCAATTTATAATGGAGATGGAGGAATGATGTGAGGCATAGAAGAGTAGGAGGGGAGGTAACAGGAGGTTAGGAGGGAGGGGAAATTGTGGTTGGTATGTAAAATAAATAAACAAATAAATTTAAAAGATGACAGTGCAAGGTAGCAGTGCAAACAATTGGCAACTACAATAATATCACAGATGCAGAGTGTGGCAGTAGCTGGTCTTGGGGAGCCCCTGCAGAAAGGACCACAAGGCTATGCTGGTAGCCTTTCCATGTCAGCTACACAGCATCTCATTTTCCTAAGGACTCAAGAGAGTTTCAGTCTTATTAAAGGAAGTGGTAGATGCCAATTGCCAAGGCTGCTGTTTAGACTAATCTACCTGGTCCACATGAGGAAAATACAAGACATCAATAAAAGACACAACTGGCCATCTAAAACATGGCTAGAAACCTGAAATATCTGAGGATGCAAGATGAGAGCATGTGTGAGTGATAAATTGGAAGATTTCACTATAGGCTTCAATGATTATTTGGTGATAAAGGTAAGATGCTCTCTGGAATTTACCAGGAGACTATTGCAGGAATAATATGGTACTCATGGGAAATGCAGTAATCATTTCTTTGGCTAACCGTAGAATGCAGATTTATAGCTCAATGTATTTTTTCTTCTGTGAGATCTGGCTACCATGAAAATTGTATGCATCTCCCCTGTTCTGAACACGGCTCTGGTTAGTTTAATTTCTGAGCGAAACACCATCTATTTCCAGGGATACATAGATCACCTCTTTATGCATGTGTGGTTCATACTTTCTGAGCTGTTGCTTCTCATAGTCACGCCCCAAACCATTCAGTCATTTGCTTTCCTCTGCACTACAGCTCTAGGATAAAAGCACACATATGTGGGAACCTGTCTATGGCACAAGGTCCATCTGTGCCCTAAATTATTCCATTAACGTCACCATGATGACATGGATGACATGGCTTTCGTTCTCTGGATCGAAGGACACCCACTGCGATGCCACTTCCCAGTTCCCACTGGTCTCCTGCACATCTCAAGTGTGGAAAGTACCATGAGTCTGATGGCTGATGACTTTTCCAGGGTATTAACTCACTGCCTTCTTGCTGTCTAATGGCTGTATCATTATTGGCATCCAGCACCCGTGCTCAGCTGAGGGGAAGCAGAAGGCCTTCACCTACTCGTCCCATCTGTCTTAGTTAAGTTTTCTATTGCTCTGAAGAGACAGCATGATCATCGCAACTCTTATAAGGAAAACATTTCAATGGGGTGGCTTGCTTACATTTGCAGAGGTGAAGCTCATTATTATCATGGTGGGGAGCATGGCAGACATGATGCTGGCTACATCTTGATCAGAAGGCAACCGAAAGTCGACTGAAACACTGGGAAGTGTCCTGAACATAGAAAACCTCAAAGCCAACTCTCACAGTTATATACTTCCTTTAACAATGTCATACCCACTGCAACAAAGCCACACCCCGTAATAGTGCCAATTCCTTATGAGATTATAGGTGACAATTACATTCAAACTACCATGTTCCCTTATTGTGCTCTCCATTATCATCCAAGATCTGTGTCTGCTTCCAGCTACATCCAGAGAGAAGTTAGTGCTGTGGTGATGTACTAGGTCCTGAGCTACACACAGAACCCCTTCATGTGTTCTTGTTATTGTCAAGGATGCTCTGAAGAGATTCTTGCCCCCTTTTAGGTATTAGTTGGAAATATACATGCTGTTCTGAAAGTGTAAGGCTGTCTCCCACCTCCCTTGCTAAAAGTATCTTCCTGGCTTTGTGCCTTGGCTATGGACATTATAGAAAATTGCCTTTAAATTCAGAATGTGCATGTCCTTCTTGTTCTGTGTTGGTAGTTTTGATTAGTCCGTACTTTCCTAGCTGTATCAAATAAAGCTTGATCCATATCACCACTGCAAGTCCTGGCCTGTGCTCCTCTTTCAAGTAGAAAGTCATGTTGCCTTCCAAAGGGACACATGAGAGCCTTGCCTGTCTGATGTACATTCTTGCATATCAGTTACTACTGCCAGTATGTGTGCATCACTATGTCAATATGAACACTGGTAAATGTGTGGTCTGTTGTCACTATTTCCTCCCTAACTTACATGTGGTCAAGCTTTGTTCTTCAGCTTTCCACATGCTACACCTCAGTCTTCTTTTACTAGTCAAATCTGGCACACCACTATAGAATCATTGGGTGCAGATCCTTGTAGCAGTGTAATGTGTAGAGGAAATGCTTCCTCACCTTGTAGCAGATGGGAAGACATGAATTTAAACTGGTTTCTCCTTTCCCCCTGTCCCAAGCTTGCCTGTCCCCAGTGCACATGGAATTTAATCCACATTGAAGATGTGGCACAGCTGCTCAGTGAATCCTCTTTTGAAACAGTTTAAAGATAATCATGGAGGTGTTTCTCAGTAATATTTTTGGAGATCAATCCAGTCAAATTGACAATAAATATATTAACCATCACAACCATGAGTCATTGTCATAGTCCTGCTGTCTTTCTCCATACTGCTTACCTCATCTGTTTACGGGTTTTACCATCTGTTCTGTATTAGTCACATGACTCTATCTAAGATATAGACTCTGTGAAAGATTCAGTGTATACATACTCACAGCAAAATGAATGTATCTGATAAGCTCTTTATTTCTGAGTTCCTACCACAGTGGGCAGAACTCCTTAACATACAATATACAGTGTTGAATAATAGCAACTCTTAAAGGATGATCAGGTTACACAAAACTCATCCAGGCAGGAGAGATGCTGAGGTACAAGTTAGAGTCATGATTTAGCAAACCTTTGTAATAACATAGGGTCTGAGACTTAACTAGATTTGATTCAGTGAGTCATAGAAACATCTTAACATTTAATAGCATTGAACATGCAAGCATACAATTTTAAGTACAAAGCAGAAATGGTTAAAATTACCCAAAACATTCAAAAGAGTAGAACTCCAATATTTTCTGATAGATAGTAGGATGTTTCTTGACTCAGGTCATGACTAATCCTGTGTCACCTAGAATCAGGAGATACATAAAAGTAGATCTTGAGTTCTCTTTAGCTTCTTTCCCACTGCTTCTAGAGTTCTTTTCCAACTCAGTGTCATCAATGGGGAAATAAAAGTTTTTTAAAGGATGTTTTGAATTCCTTATTTCTCAAGGTATAGATCAGGGGGTTCAGAGAGGGGGTCATAGTGGTGTACAAAACAGCAATGGCCTTGTCCAGGAGCCCAGCAGTTCCTAGGGCTGGTCGGACATACGTATATAGCACAGTGGAATAATAAAGGGTGACCACAATCAGGTGGGCAGAGCAGGTGGAGAAGGCACGCCTCTTGCCCTCAGCTGAACGGATGCGCAGGATGCTGGCAATGATGAAGCCATAGGATGTCATGGTCAATAGGAAGTTCAGGCCAGTTAGGTACATGTCTGCAATGACTGTCATGATGTCGTTGATAAAGGTGGGACTACAGGACAGCATGAGCACAGAAGGGATCTCACAGAAGAAATGTGTGATGAGATTGGGACCACAGAAGGACAGCGGTAACACCAGACAAGTGAGCACCAAGGAATTGAGAGCCCCTGTGAACCACACAAATGTTGCAAGGGCCACACAGGCCCTGCCATTCATGAGGGTTCCATAATGCAATGGCCGGCAGATTGCAAGGTAGCGGTCATAGGCCATGGCAGAGAAAAGCATAAGCTCAGAGCCCAGGACCCAGGAGAAGACAAACATCTGTGTGAGGCATCCCCCATAAGATATGGTGTTCTCTGTCACCAGGCTCTGCAGGACCTTGGGCAGGACAGTCACAGTGCAGATCACATCCATCAAGGCAAGGTTAACTAGGAAGAAATACATGGGAGTGTGGAGGTTGGGACTTCTGTGAATAGTTGTGATAATCAGGCCATTGCCAGCTATGGCCAATGTCAACAAGGTAAAGAAGAAGCAGAAGAGGGCATCCTGGACCCTGGGGTCATCCACGAAGTTTTGCAGGATGAACATGGTCACAACTGACTGGTTCTCAGGAACCATGGCTAACACTGTCTATGCTCAGGATGGGAGTTGTAGCTTGGGCCTCTGGCAAAATAAAAGTGAGCTTTATTATGATTAACTAAAAATAATTTTAAATCTTACTAACCAATCTATTCTGTGTAGCGAGGAACCTGCTCACATGCTAATGAAATAGTAGGCCTAGGACACACCCCACATAGGCTCTGTCTGTGAACATGGGTGAACCCTGAATGCAAGGTCCCTGAACATATTGTTCCATATGTGCTGTGCCTCATCCCACAAGGAGGGAGAGATGATCATCCTTGTGAGAGCCACCCAGGATACAGTGACTGGAGACTGTGGTATAGATGCTGGGAAGACATGATTAGTCATCAGTGGGGCCATGGAAGGGTGTAAGGCCAGTGGTACTGCCTGCTTGTCTGAGAGTGTGGGGAATAACATACAGAGCATTAATTGAATGACAGACTCTCTGCAGACAGAACCAATGTGGTCTTTGTGACAACGTGGCTTCTCATGCAGGTTACAACAATGGCCCCAAAATTTCCTATCTTGTACCTCTAGTCCACTAGGACCTAAAGCTTGAGGTTAACATTCAAGACTCATACCCTACCCCAGGAGGAAAATAGGCTCTCCTGTGGATCCTAGGCTGTCTCTCAAACCATTGAGCCATAGGAACTTAGCTGCTCCCACACCCAGCTCCTTCAAGGCTGCTCAAAGAGCCATCTAAGGTCACCAAACAATCCCTGTAGGAGTCCATATTGCCAGTCACTGTCCAGATGGAACAGACAGACCCTGAATGTTGAGAAAGCAGGACTGTGTTGAGAAAATATGGAGGGGTGACAACCCTGATTGGGGCCTGCTGGACTGTGTATGCACTGGTCACTTTCTACTACCAGACTCTACCAGCAAGGATGTAGTGAAGGATGAGTCCCTGAGTGTGAGTTACAAATCAGATTTAAGGACAGGCTGACAGTGACAAGTAACAGGGCCTTCCATTGTGGTCTGTTATGTGACAACTACCCAGTATGACAGGCTGCCCTCACCCAACCATCCAAATCTAGCGTGAAAAATACATTTCAGGTTTCACAGTAGAGAATTTCACATGTTTTCAGAGAAAGTAGCTCTGGCCATTCATTTACCGGTGCTCCCCACATACTCTGCGCCACTCCCAGTGCTCTGTCTCACAGTGCTTCAGAGGGCTTTGCACGGAAGAGGGGTGTGGGTGGGTGACTATGCTGTGCTGGCTCTGGTGCCTTTCTAAAACCAGCAAATCAAGCTCATTGTGATGGTGGCACAGTGTGGGCTGGAAGGCCTGGGAATCTTCTCATAGCGTCAATCTTCATTCTTTGCTTCCACAGGACCTCAGACCAGGCTGCACACAAGTAGCCCTCCTGTTTCACAAAGAACTCCAGCAGTCACGGGGAAGTGGCTGCAGTGTGTGCATGGTGTCCCTGAATACTACGAGTAGTATATTCAGCTGCCAGAGTTAGCAGGTGAAATACAGGAAGCTAAGTTAAGCAAGAGCACACTTTCAAAAACATGTCTCAAATCATACCCTGGAAATCCCATTTCTAAATGGTATTTGTTTTAAAATGCAATTTAATCTGGACTTCATCTACTTTTTTTAAAAGACTGATGTCCACTCAGATCCACACATCCCTTACCTCATGTGTATTTGAGGCCAGCAGAAATTGAGGATGCCTCTGGGTCAGCATTCACATATCTGAGAGATGAGCCACCATGTCAAACCACATGAGACTGTGCTCCCTGTCCATACTTACCTCTAGTATATGCCCTATAGCTTCACTCACAGATGAAGGAGGAGCAGCTTGCTGTCTGTGTTGTCTAGGTAGCCTGGCAAGATAAGAAATGAGTGAGTTTCAGGGTTATTCCTCCTCCTGGGGAAAGTGTAGTGACCTCTGTAGGTTATCCCCATTGAGACGATGATGAAATGTCCATTGTCCACAGGTGCCCCAGAGAGCTAAGTAGTTGAAATAGGAACTCCTGCTGGATTGTACCCCCAAACTCCCCCAATTTCCCTCTGCCAGCTTTCTACCTTCTATTTGAGGAATTGATACCTACTTCCTCCAAAATTGCAACTAGCGTGTTTCTACCATGCCTTTGTGTAGCTGTGAGCCAGGCACATGAAATCTTCATGGGAAGAAAATATCTGTTTCCAAAAGTCTGGAAAAGTCATAAAAGTGTGACACCTACCTGTAGGTCCACAGGCATGGTGCTGGGTATCCAACAAAGTATGTGAAAAGGAACCTGGAGGCATGGGAGAAACAGAGAGAGAGAGAGAGAGAGAGAGAGAGAGAGAGAGAGAGAGAGAGGGAGGGAGGGAGGGAGGGAGGGAGGGAGGGAGGGAGGGAGGGAGGGAGGGAGGGAGGGAGGGAGGGAGGGAGAGAGAGAGAGAGAGAGAGAGAGAGATTGTACTGTAACTCAATTCTCCAGCCCTCTATCTTGCTTCATTTTTCTGTGATAGCTCCTGGAACTGTTGATTTCATCGGTGGATACTAAAAATATCCATAGGAACACATTTATGTTCTTCTGATATTGGACTCCCTGTGACTCTAACCCCCCCCCGCACCGCACCGCTATAAATGATCTCTTGATGGAACAAATGACAGGAAATAAAGGACATATCTAACTTAAGCAGCAACACACCATAGGGGTGTTTGAAATACTGGATGCTTTCCAGACATGTCCCTACGACTTTTACATTGGGATGGTGACCCCTGCCCAGAGAGATGCATCTGAACCCTATAGAAGAGAGTCAGCTAGGTCATGTCCTCACCACACCATTTGGGCTTCACACTCCTTTGTCCAGAGGAGTACAGAGGTGTCTGTCACCTTCAGGTAATCATGGCTTTAATCTAGATAGCTTTGGCTGTGTGATGCAACCCAATTCAGCTATAGCCCCATGGGAGTCCTACCCCAGGGCCCTGGCTGAGGTGACCTGGCAACTGCCTGTGAAGTCTGCAGTGGAAAGTGGAGGTGGAGAGGACTTGGCCCCAAGGGCAGATGGAAAAGGCACAGGTTCTGCTTACTGTGAGCTCAGGTGCTTTCCCAGATGGAGCTTATTCTTCACTCCAATCTCAGTTGAAAACACAGCAGGGAAGGCTCAGGGTCAGATGGTCACTGGCTTAAGCTCACCAGGAAAAGTTCTCAGCTTTCTCCAACTTTATGGGCCAACACTATCTGCATTTGAGGCTTTGATGACCAAGTTTGTGAGGGAAAGGAACAGCCTACTCATTGTACCCTGACCTTGGCAGACAGAGGTTGAGTGTGTATGTGAGCCTGAACAGATAGGAGTCCAAGATACCAGGGTGTTCTGTTGCATGCCTCAGGCCCCCAGGAGCCGAGGGGAGTTGTAGACACATCAGATGTTGCTATGAAAGCCTAACTCCTCAAAAAAGGGCTAGCTGTGTGCCCTCAAATGGATTCATTTCTCCACTGCATGTTCTCACACTTTCTTCCCAAGACAAAGGTTTTGGGATGTCAGATGTCTTCAGTTTCAGCAGATACAGAAACAGAATATAGCTGGAAATTGCATCCTTGGTGTTGGGAGGATTTAGTTTTTATTTAAAATTCAGAAGCAGTGTAAGCATTTTAAATTAATTTTAAAGTCTATACTCCTTCAAACTTATAACACACACACACACACACACATACACGTTTTAGGACAGAAATTTCCTTTTTCATTTTGTTTGTAGTTCTGTGTGTTGCCTAACAATTATCATAGTCTAAAAGTCTCGTCAGCAACAGCATTTTGAGAGAATTCTAGACCTACAGAGGAGCTGACATAGTACTAGATACACCCTTTTTCTAGCCTCTTTGCAGACCTAGGTACCTATAAAGAGCCTCTGTCTGGGACCCCCTGTTGCCACACCAGGCTGTGGCTGAGGTTTGTTTTTCTCACTTTTATTTCTGTCTCCCATTCCAAACTCTCCAGGTCATACCCAGCCCTATAGGAACCTGGTTGTTGGTGCCTGTCCTCCCATTCCACATCTAACCCTGAGGGACTCCACCAAACCTTGGAGTGGACCCAGCTGTTTTTCCTGTAGACCCTTTCATCCCCTTTCCTCTGCACCTGGCCCATCCCCATTCCTTCCTTGCAAACTCTAATACCCAGAAATGCTTTCTACTGGACCCCAGTGGTGGTACCTGGTAGGGATTCTGGTAGGTGAATCATACCATCCTTCTTGCCATCCATTATGGTTTTTCCCTTCTCACCTACAACTCATAGCATCCTGCTTAGAGGGCCACTTACCTCCACTTTAACTACATTCACTAGAGATGCCAACTCTTGGTTCAGACCTATGACCCCCTAATATTTTCATCTCTGTCTTTCCAGATAATTCTTTGGTTTACATTAGCCTGCATCCAGGATCCCCTCTTTCTAGCACACGTCCAGCTTCATGGGGACCCCAATCATAGGTGTGAACAGGATCCCCTTAGCCATGAAACCACATTCAGCCTTTTCTCCTTGCCCACATCAATCCCAATCTGCCATGTGTTTACATGCACAAGCACTCCTTACCGGGCTACCCACAGTCACCAGATTTTGGTAAGATCCAGGGAGAACAACAGAAACCAAGGAACACCCACCCAACAAAGACAAGGCCAGATATCAAGACGTTCACCTCAGTCATCCCATTCTCGATTCCAAGACACCAACATAAAAACATAAATACTAAAAGTCAAGACAGGATGTTTCCCCAACAACCCAAGAGCCTAACTGCAGTTGACCCCAAGATATATAATATAGTTTAAACACAAAAAGGACTTCAAAACAATTATGAATATGTTCAAGGACCTTAAATAGTAAGTGAACAAATTATTTTTTATTTTATTTTATTATTTTAATTTTAAATAGCTTGCTTCCCATGTCAATCCCAGTTCCCTCTCACTTCCCTCCTCCCGGACCCAGCCACAGTCCCCCCCCCCAGCCTCCCAACCTATGGCCACTTCCTTCCACATAGAGGATATCTAGAGTCTGTCATTTCACTAAGGGCAGGGGCGAGGCACTCCCCTAAGAGTCCAGGCTG